CTACTGCTATTAATACTACAACTACTACTAATGTTATTACAAATACTACTATGGCTAATAGTGTTAGTATTACAGCTGTTTTTACTGCTAATGATACTAAACCGACTTCTACTGCTAGTACTACTAATACCACAATTACAACTAATACTACTACTAATATTACTACAAACAATTTTAAACCACTTTTTATTTATCTCAGCTTTTGTTATTTCTGTACTTTTTAAAATTCATTTAAGCTCCTGCAACTTCTGTTTTGCAATATTTCACATTTATTTCAGCTGTTTTCATTTCTGCTTTTTCAGCAAATCTATTGAAATTCCTTTCAGCTTCTCCCATTTCTGTATTTTCAGCAATTTCAAATTCATTTCAGATTTTCTAATATCTGTAATCTCAGATGTATTCAAATTCCCTTCAACTTTCTGTATTTTCAGCTATTTTTAAATATTCATTTCAGCTTTCAGATTTTTGCATTCCAACGCATTTTCAGCAGGAAATGCCTTTTCTAGTTATTATTTCTAAGCTTTAATTTGATTTTTTTACCGAAGTAGGACACTACTAGACTCAAGAGTGATGTTTTCTTCTAGCCTCGTGTCACAAACAGACGTTCCCCGTCTCCGGAGTACTAAGGTCCGAAGCTCGGGATCTCAGTCACCCCTCTGTGGCACGTGACAATGGTTTGTGCCACTCAGGATCAGCCCACTGAGCGGGCACGGCCACTCCCACCAACACACCTGTGGCTCGTCTCTCATCAGGAGAGGCTGGGCATTTAAGCTGCCGAAGTCTCAGAAGCCGGTGCGAAGTCTTGTGCATGTTGCCATCACATTCTGAGCGTTCTCTAGATATCCTGTTTCTGCCTACCTGTTATTGATCTCTCCTTTGTCCCAGACCTCGTTCACGCCTGCCTGACCCCCGACGGTACCTCTGCCTACCTCCGCGCTGCCGGCTCTCGACCCCCCCGCCTGACCTCCAGCTACGACCTCGCCTGCTCCCTGACGGTGCCTCAGTCTGTTCCCTGCTTGCCTGGCTTTTCGACCCCTGCCTGTTCACCGGACACTACCAAGCCTGATCCTTGTCTGTACCCCGCTAATAAAACTGCGCTCTGCGCTTGAGTTCAGTCTGGTCTCTTGTGGTGCGTTACACCTCGATTCAAAAATCAGCATTATTGTGTCCATAACTAGTGAGATTGTCAGAGTTACGCCTTTTCTTTTCTTCAGTTGATTCTGTTAATGTCTTGATAAGGGGCGTGTGTGACTTACGGTTTAGAGAATCGTTTTGAGTTGAGCCGTTCAGTCACCTGCTCTGGGTTTGAGTCGAAGGTGAGCGGTACATGGTCGCTGGTCGTTCGCTCCACGTGGAACTTCTTGGGCGCCGGCTGGCTTTTGTTTGCAGTGATCTTTATCAATAACTCATTGTTGAGCGTGTCCATCACTGCAGCACAGACCGACAGCAACAGGACATGGCGTCACATCTTTGTCGTCACCACATCTTGATTCGTCCACTTCTTGGTGTTCACTCACTTTTGTCTTTGGGTCTGGTCTTGATGATCTGTTGATCTCATCTGGATGCCGGAGGAGGATAAACACCTCTCCTGAGACGCCTCATCTTTTCTCTTCTCTTCCAGAACACCCAGGTGTCAAAGTCTGCGGCTGACCCGAACCTTTGGTGGAAGCAGGCCAGCGAGGATGGGAGGTGGAGGCCAGCTGACGGAGCCCGCGGAGCTGGGCAACGGGCGGGCAGGTGGCGTGTACACTTGGCAGGAGGTGCAGAGCCACTGCAGCAGGAGCGACCAGTGGCTGGTGATCGATCGGAAGGTGTACAACATTACTCAGTGGGCCAAAAGGCACCCGGGAGGGATCCGGGTCATCAGCCACTACGCCGGAGAGGATGCCACGGTGACCTTTTACCGAGATTGTAAAACTCATTTGGCAAACTTTTAAAAAAAAATGTTTTTATTTACCCCCCGAATTTTTGTTTCTTCCAGGAGGCGTTCACTGCTTTTCATCCCGATCTAAAGTGGGTGCAAAAGTTTCTGAAGCCTCTGCTGATTGGAGAGCTGGCAGCGACAGAGCCCAGCCAGGACCGGAACAAAAGCGTGAGATCAGTCTCAGATTCTTCAAGCAAAAATAAACATCTCATTTCTTGCGTCTCGCGGCAGCGTTGGGACCATGTCCAACGCCTGAGGACAACTCAAACTGCCTACATGCCTTGTTTTTCGTGTCTCTTTGCATCTCCTGCGCTAAAACTGTATAGCTGCACGTCCTCAAATGTTGCGAGAACCTCCCCTTTTAGTCTTGGACCCCCACTGACTGGCGTCTGCTCGTCTCCGCTCTCAGGCGACCATCATACAGGATTTCCACACTTTACGCGCCAAGGTGGAGAGCGAGGGTCTGTTCCGAGCTCGGCCCTCGTTCTTCTGCTTCCACCTGGGTCACATCCTGCTGCTGGAGGCTCTGGCCTGGCTGATCATCTGGGTCTGGGGAACCAGCTGGACGCTCACCCTTCTCAGCGCCTTCCTGCTGGCAACCTCTCAGGTGACCCCGAACATTCCTTCGCCGCACGCCGTTATTGTCAACAAACTTTAAGCTAACGCCGGTTTCTCTTCCTCTCCTGTAGTTGCAGGCCGGGTGGCTGCAGCACGACTTCGGCCATCTGTCCGTCTTCAAGAAGTCCAGCTGGAACCACGTGTTGCACAAGTTCACCATCGGCCATTTGAAGGTGGTTTGGTGTTCTCAGTCGCACCTCTTTATTTCTAAACAAACCGTACACAAATATTAAGGGATTGTTTTCTCAGGGAGCATCTGCCAACTGGTGGAATCACAGGCATTACCAGCATCACGCCAAGCCCAACGTCTTCAGTAAGGATCCCGACGTCAACATGTTGCACCTCTTCGTGATTGGTAAAACTCAACCGGTGGAGGCAAGTGGTGGATGTTTTTTATTCTTAGACATGTTGGTATTCAGTCTTTCTTCATCCTTTCACTTTGTATTCCTCTCTGTTACAGTACGGCATAAAAAAGATCAAATACATGCCCTACCACCACCAACACCAGTACTTCTTCCTCGGTATGTTTCTGAAATTGATTTTAAAAAGAGAGAAACTATGAAAACTGAAAACACAGGAACAATACGTTTACTTTTTCTCTCCTTCTAGTTGGACCGCCGCTTCTCATTCCAATTTACTTCCACATTCAAATAATGCGCTCCATGATTTCCCGCCACGACTGGGTGGTAAGATGCCCTCTTCCGGGTGCTACAGTGCAGATTATATATAAGTGGTTTCTACATATAGGGTTACGTCTGGTTGGAAGGAATCTTGAATACAAATATGACTCATATAAACCCTGCTGTCTTTGTGAAGGACCTGGCTTGCTCTCTGTCCCACTACCTGCGCTACCTTTGCTGCTCTGTCCCCCTGTATGGCCTGCTTGGCTCAATGCTGCTCATCAGCTTCGTCAGGTAAACACCACCTTTCACAGTGATGTAGACAGATCAAGCTATACTGGAGGGTGAAACCCAAAAGCCATCAAAACCTCTATGAAAAAATATGAAGTTTTTTCTACAACAGCGTGATCATATTGTGTGACGAAACGTTCAGTCACTGGTCTGCTGTCTTACATCAGGATTTTGGAGAGCCACTGTTTTGTGTGGGTGACTCAAATGAATCATCTGCCCATGAACATCGACCACGAGAAGCACCAGGACTGGCTGTCCATGCAGGTACCCGATTTACAGCCGACGGAGCCAGCTTTGCATTCGGCTGATGTATGAACACGTCTTCTAGTCTTGTGTCATCCTCTTTACTTTAGTTACACGCCACCTGTAATGTCAAGCAGTCCCCCTTCAACGACTGGTTCAGTGGACACCTCAACTTTCAAATCGAACACCAGTAAGTCAGTGATGGAGGAGAACATCACTTCAAAGTTTGTAGGAAGAACAGACAAAAGCTCCTGAAACTATAGATAATTATTACAATAATTATTCAAATTCGAATAAATCTAAGCTCCTCCAGCATGCAGTGACCTTCATTGGGTGTTTTAAATGCTAAATGTTACTTCAAAAAAAAAAAAGAACTATGGTGAAAGCACCCGTCCCTTATTTTTAAACGATTACTTTGACGCCCTTATTATTTCATAATGCATTTGTTGAGACATGTTTGAAGCTTCTTCTCTCCCTTCTGTCTCTGAAGTTTGTTTCCCACGATGCCGCGCCATAACTACCACCTGGTGGCCCCCCAGGTCCGCGCGCTGTGTGACAAACATGGCATCCCTTACCAGGTGAAGACAATGTGGCAAGGCTTCGCTGATGTTTTCAGGTAAGTCCAATCCAGGTTAATCATCTACTCGCAGAAGGAGACGTTTTCAGGTTCTAGCCATGCAGTGAACTGTCAGAATAATGAAGATGTAATGAGAAGAAAGTATTGTAATGACCGAATCTAAACTGTCGGGTGTGAACTGTGTATTTTTGTTCCCTTTTCTTCAGGTCACTGAAAAACTCAGGCGACCTCTGGCTTGACGCTTATCTCCATAAATGACAACTTTAATCCTCTGCTCTGCACCTACAAGGAGTGACCTTTCATCCTCTTCTGAATCATGCATTGATTGTAATTGTTTGGTTTTATAATCCAGTCGATAGTGTGGGAACAATCTTTTCTTAGTGCTGGTGTTACAGTATGTACTTTTTTCAGATTCTCTGCCAGGTTTTTAGTGCTCATGGGATGTGTTGTGTCTTCAACAACAGTAGTATGGCTTTAGAGATGCAATTGTAAGGTATTTAAAGGGATCTTTTTTTAATAACTATAATGTGAAGCAGAACAATAAAATGAGACAATTACATGGACAGATCAAAACTCCTATGTAATTGAGGACGAATTAGTTACTGCATTTCTGTTCTTACTATTGTTCTTATCTTACAGTTATCAATAAAGCCAATGTATTGACTGTTTATCCACCTCTGCTATTATTGATCCAATGACAACACAAGAATTCTGAATTAAAAAAAAGATTTGCCAAATTCTAACGTTTTTATCATATTTACAACTTTAAATCCTGAATGTTTTGCTTTAATCTTCATTTTGTGACTACACATCACATCATTACACATATGCATGCATCATGCTGCATACAAACACATTCATCATAGCGTCTCACTGTTATTCAAATAAACATGCGACGATAAACATGCATGATTAATTTTATGAAAAGCGACACTATTCATGTTAATACCTGGTGCTGATCTGCAGGTACCAACGGGATGAGACTACTTCTGACATACATAGTGTGTTTGATTATTTGTTATACTCGTAAACAGCAATACGAAAATAATTGGCTATATATCAGAAAATGTGTCAAACGTTCTGGCACAGATTTAGATGTGTGAGAGATACGGACTGCTTGTTTATTTAAGCCATTAGGTAAACAGCTGGAATATTGCCAATGAGCAGAAACATTGACCACACAGCTGGTACATATATGTACATTACATGCATGTTGCGCTCACACGTGCTCCCACAAACACAACTGTGCGTAGATTCATATGTCCCCCTGTTCGTACGAAAATTGAATGAGGCAATGAAAACCAAAGCAACATAATTAGATAAGAAAACACTGGAATACATGCAAGTCGTATGATACAAAATAAATATAGACTAAGAATGTGTACCACATCTCAGTATGTCCCCCCTGTGGATTATAATTAGCAGAAGGTTGATTGAAGCAGCTGCTGCAGCCGTCGTGCTGCTCAGCAGGTTCCGTCCGCGTTGTTCGAGTCGATCCTCTCCTGCCGCCACTTCATGACCTCCTGCAGCTCCGAGTCCCCGCTGGTCTTCTGAAAACAGAAGAACGGTTCATTTCTTTTAATTGTTCTGTTTTCAGGAAGCTACTGTTCACCATTCACTCATTGCTCAGTGTAGGTTAGAACAAATCTATTCATTCATCATTCATTCATTCTTTGTTTTACAGTCTAGTTTGGTTTGTCACAAAGTTTTTATTTACAATACATGTGTAAATACATCGGAATGATTATTGTATTTGGGAATTATGTCATTCTGACCTCGTTTAGTTAATTTATAATCATTTATTAATATATATTTTAAAAGGTACAGTTCATCAAAATGCAATGAAATGCAGCAGCCCTGTTTCTCTTATCCCATATAAATATATTTAATCAGACAAAATTAGGTAAAATAAGAATAGGAAGAAATCTTACTGAAATAAGCTAAATAATATAAGTGCTGATGCCGTATTTGAACTTGCTTGCTGTTGAGCAGTCAGTGGAGGTTGTTTCTAACCACTGGACCTCGCCTGAATATACCTAATGAGTGTGACTCACAGTATGAAAGCTGACAGCAGCCTTCATATGAGTGTATTGACTCGTTGCAACATGCAAAGACAAAGACCGACAGCGGAGAACGGTGGACGTTATTCATATTGGTTTAAGACCAATTAATCCATGCATACATGTTGAAACTGTGTGTGTTTGTTGGTTTTTCAAGAAACAAAAGAAACAAAACAACATAACAGGTGTGCACACAGCTCGCCGTGTATGACTGACCTCCAGCTGTGTTTTCTGCAGGGTGACCTGACAATACACACGACTACCCTCTTCTACGCACACCGCCTTCAGCTCATCTTTGTTGAGAGAAAAGAGCTGAGCTCCAGTCAGGATCCCCAAACAGTCAGCGGTCCTGCAAACAGTCCTTTACTTTACTCGTCATAATATATAAACGTATTTCTACTGCCAGTAGTAAGTACACAGATGTTGCTAAAACAATGTAAATGCAAAGACAATGTCTTAGTTGTATTTTTGACAAATAGCAGTAGGAAAATATGTAATAATAATGAATAACATTAACAAAGAGCAGATACATCAGGGTTGTGTCAATACCAGCAACACACCCAAATACTTCTGACAGTAAATTCATGTTTTTTTGAACTTGTATTTATTATTTCTAAGCTTTAATTTCATTTTTTTACCGAAGTAGGACACTACTAGACTCAAGAGTGATGTTTTCTTCTAGCCTCGATTCAAAAATCAGCATTATTGTGTCCATAACTAGTGAGATTGTCAGAGTTACGCCTTTTCTTTTCTTCAGTTGATTCTGTTAATGTCTTGATAAGCGGCGTGTGTGACTTACGGTTTAGAGAATCGTTTTGAGTTGAGCCATTCAGTCACCTGCTGTGGGTTTGAGTCGAAGGTGAGCGGTACATGGTCGCTGGTCGTTCGCTCCACGTGGAACTTCTTGGGCGCCGGCTGGCTTTTGTTTGCAGTGATCTTTATCAATAACTCATTGTTGAGCTTGTCCATCACTGCAGCACAGACAGACAGCAACAGGACATGGCGTCACATCTTTGTCGTCACCACATCTTGATTCGTCCACTTCTTGGTGTTCACTCACTTTTGTCTTTGGGTCTGGTCTTGTTGAAGCTGTCTCGATGGCTCAGAGGACCAGGCGATGACGGACTGTAGCCTGTCTGCACACACACACACACACACACACACACACACACACACACAGAAACAAAGACATCTCGTGTTTGTTCCCTCAAACAGGTTTAATGTTCAGTCACTGGTGCTTGATAAGTTTTGACCCTGGAGCCGAAGGAGAAAATATGTGTGTGAAATAATTTGATTCCACGAAGAGTAGCTGCATACAGTATCTGCTGCCGGCCGTGCATGCAGCGTGCACGCAGCGTGCATGTGTGCAGTGCGTGTCTATGCGGGTGTAGGCTTTTGCTGAGGGTGGGAAAGTGCTGCTGCACAATGAATAGGATCACAACAAGGTCCGAGAGCTTGAAGGCAAAGCTGCACTGATAGCAGCAACGTTCCTTCCACGTTGTTATTTAGCGTTGTATTAAAGTTTGTTTTTTGTTGTTGTTGATATAGGTTTAGTTTTTTATTTTCCCGCTCCACCACTGAGCCACAGTGGACACTCCACTGTTTGCTGCTGTTTTATAGATAGTGACCTTTAAGTGAATCACTTCCTTTAAGGGCTCACCCATACACAGCTAAAGGATTATTGTTCTCATCAGAGAATCTAATGTTAATACACTGCATGAAAAGCCCACCTGGTTGTAGGGGGCTTCTGGCTCCTCAATCTTCACCACGTCCAGGATGTTAAACGGGACGTAGCCGGCTTGACCGCTGCGGTTACGAAGTTTCCACCACTGTTTGTCATCCTCTATCACCTGTGACACACGTTTCACATCTCACTGCGTAAGCCGCCATTTTTAACTAAAGTCAAGTCTTGTGAAACACACACACACACTTGGTTTAGCACTCGACAGATTGCTCAGTTAAACAGTTTGTTTACAGCAGACACTACATGTCAGGTCCGTCTTAAATGTTTACCTTCCCAAAAGGTAAACAAACAAGAGTTTGCATCGTCCCGGCCAGATACTAAAATCTGCATTTGGTTTAGATTAAAAATCATATTTGCGTTTTTTACCTCGAGGATTTCATCCTGCAGCACCGACAGCTCGTTGGCATTCCGTGCTACAAAGTGGTAGCGAATTTTGGCATATTTGCGAGCGGAGGGCGCCCCATTGTAAGACCTGTTAGGAGAAATGGTGTCCTCTCGTCAAACAGTGAGGTATTTTATGGGTGAAAGCGACGGCAAAGTTGGTAAGGGACTTCCCTACGTACCCATTTGACCCATTTGAGTTAGAGGATTGTGTTCCATAATACTGAAAAAGCAGACAGATTGTTACATGGTTGGCGTTCAGTGGTTGTGCACTCACAGACAGCAGCTAACAAATAAGTCCCTCACATCTTCAGCTGCATGTTGTCTGTAATCGGGGCTGCTGGGGGGCCCCAGTGGCCCCGCTGCTCCCTCTGTTTCCCACGCGGCTGTCCTGAGGAGCTCCAATGGCGGCTCCCAGCCGTTACGAAACTTAGGGTGATAAGGAGGCGCACATTGATCCCTGGGCCACTCCGCTCTGCCACAGGGAGCACAGGAGGGTCAGAATGGGACCGTTAAGGTGCACATCACGTAAGAGATGTCAGGCAACGGTCAGCCTCTGCGTTTTGCAGGGTACCACATTGTCGTCAGTGTGTGAGAATGAGAGGAAAATTGTGCCGCGATTTGTTAAACGTGCTGTTGGAATGCAGCTGTTTTTAGAACCTGGGTTTGGTCCATCCATCCCCCAGCAGCTCAAAGATGGTCATCTCTTTGGGGGTGAGGTGTCCCCGCAGGAAGTCCACCGTGTCCATGGAGAGATGCGGGGAGATCACCGAACGCAGAAGTTCAGGGCTCCCACAGCTCTGCAGCACCTGTGGACGCAGTTAGAAGTATATTTTAAGCCTTATGCAAAAAAGGATTTTATACACATATTTATTAGATTTATAAGATTAAAACAAGGTGTTTTCATTTTGCATTTTAGGCAAGATTTCCGTTTTGATATCCTGCCCTGGTCTTCTCTGAAGAAGTTCTCAATTTCTTCAGAGAAGATGCTTTGTTGTTTTCAGAAGGCGTGGGTGTAACAATACAAAGCAATATAAAGTATCCTGGATTAAATATTGATTAACTGGATCAGAAATCCTTTAAAGCTGCTGCCTGTTGAGACTAACTATTGAGTACAGCTAGAGGTCATGGGGCCACGCTTATAATATTACTGCTCTTGCTTTATCTCGACCATATCAAGCAAATCCAACGTGTCCAGAGGTTACTGCACATTATCAACAGGCCGAGCCTAATCACAGCTCTGCATTTATAACCGACCGTATCTAAGCTGGGGCCGAATACTGGAAGGTCAGAAACCCGCACTACGTGAGTGGAGCTGAACCAGCTGAGTCAGAGCTGAAAGCCACGTTGCTCCACTCAGGTGACAGTTTATTGGCATTCACAAATACGTCCATAAATCAGCTGTAATAGCCTTCATCCATATCTGTATCAGGCACACTCTGAACAGATTTATGGCTCTTACCAGCTCGAGGGGGCCGAAGAGGAAATGAACCAGCTCAACCTGCTATTACACTTTTAGTCCATAGATGAACAAACTAAAAACGTTTTTCTCTTCTCATCTGAAGAGAACAACTGAAATTAACTTTTTAAAATAGCTGAAAATACTGAAAGTTGAAGGGAATTTGAATAAATTTGCTGAAATAAAAGATATTAGAAAAGCTGAAATGAATTTGAAATTGCTGAAAATACAGAAATGGGAGAAGCTGAAAGGAATTTCCATACATTTGCTGAAAAAGCAGGAATGAAAACAGCTGAAACAAATGTGAAATATTGCAAAACAAACCAGAAGTTCAGGAGCTTAAATGATATAAAAAGTACAG